ACTCTTTCCCTGCCTAACTGTTTCTTTGCTAACTCTTTCTTTGACTAACTCTTTCCCTCACTAACTCTTTCTTTGACTAACTCTTTCCCTGACTAACTCTTTCTTTGACTAACTCTTTCCCTGACTAACTTTTTCTTTGCTAACTCTTTCTTTGACTAACTCTTTCCCTGACTAACTGTTTCTTTGCAAACTCTTTCTTTGACTAACTCTTTCCCTCACTAACTCTTTCTTTGACTAACTCTTTCCCTGACTAACTGTTTCTTTGCTAACTCTTTCTTTGACTAACTCTTTCCCTCACTAACTCTTTCTTTGACTAACTCTTTCCCTGACTAACTGTTTCTTTGCTAACTCTTTCCCTGACTAACTGTTTCTTTGACTAACTCTTTCTTTGACTAACTCTTTCCCTCACTAACTCTTTCTTTGACTAACTCTTTCCCTGACTAACTGTTTCTTTGCTAACTCTTTCCCTGACTAACTCTTTCTTTGACTAACTCTTTCCCTGACGAACTTTGACTAACTCTTTCCCTGACTAACTGTTTCTTTGCTAACTCTTTCCCTGACTAACTCTTTCTTTGACTAACTCTTTCCCTGACGAACTCTTTCTTTGCTAACTCTTTCTTTGACTAACTCTTTCCCTGACATTCTAAAAGTCCGTAACACGGAAGTTTCTCCCCCTAAACTTCCTTTGATCATATATCCATATAAAATCCCTTGTTGTAAGATTTGGATCATGCCAGGAGCTGGGCGAGGGGGGGCTACAAGAGGTGGGATGTTGGTGGATTTGATGAAAAATAGAGATCTTATCAGAAAAAAAAGGGTTTCATCATTTACATTCATTTGCTTAAATTCTTATCATTCATGTCATGGTAATGGTGATTGTTTCATGAAACGTAAAGATTAAAGCCAATGAATATGAAAAAGATGTTACTATAAACCAAGAATCCTTGTGGGATATGATATAACGGGAATATCACCAACAATCTGTTGGGGTGTAGATCTGGGGAACTGGGGAGTCCCCATTGAGGACATCTTTGAGTACCATTTTTTTCAGACAAACCCATATCCAGTATGATTACTATGACTACTGGGTACTACGAACCTTCGGAACCTAGTGTTGATTCTTGGCAAGGGTCAGGTATGAAACCATCCAAACAAGGGATATCTCTGCGAGTAAAATTGATGGTCTTATGTTTTTGCTCATCCCTACTGGTTTTTCGCATTTGTTGGAATGGGTGGCTCAACCACTAACAAGAAAAGATTCAGCAAAACCTTGGAATAGAGTCTATACATCGAAGATACACCTGGGATTCGTGGTAGTTATCCCAGTAAAAAGAGTGGATTAACCGAAAAAAACCCTACTTATCCCACTTTTTAGTGGGATATAAGCCACTTAAGATTCGTGGCGAGTTCGAAGATATCGATGGCTGGCACCCTGGTTTCACCCCTTGGTGCGACGACTGGGGTTTCCAGCCACCATGATATTCCTATTGTTTTGTGGTGGCCATTGTCCTGAAAAAATCTCCAAAAATCATGACAGAGACCATCCCATATAAATCACAGATGTTTCCGGTGAAGAAAACATCCCCATATGTTGATGCGAAGTGACCACTAAGAACTGGCTGTTTTTTTGTGTCAGGTCGCCCCTCGAGAGCCACGGCGGCTCTCGCCACGGCTGGCTCGAGGCTGCGGTTTGTTTGAAAACACGATTGTGGGAACTTTCCAAAAGCACCAGACATTTCTCTTGTGAATCAGCTTGAATCACCCAAAAATCAGAAGACCTGGCTAGCCCATAGCTATATATATACCCTCTGGTTATTTAACATAGCCATAGCCATGATTTTTATGTTTTGAATCCAAAAATCAGAATCTCTGCGCTGAATGTTAGTGGAGATTCCAAAGATTCAGGTTCGCCGACGGCACAGGGCCGGGCGACGGCGGCGACGACAAAGGAGGCCGACAATACGGGAATCATGGCAAAATACGGTGGATTTCATGGTGAGCATGGGAAGTAGTTGATTCTGGTTGATTGGTTTATGTGTATATATATATATTATACCATTTGGTAATTTAACGATATTTAACATAGTTATGGGAAATCACCATGTTTGGTAGGTAAATCATGGTAATTAAATCATGAAACACCGAAACACCATGTTCCATAGCTATGTTGAATTAATAGAGGGTAAATCCACAACAATTGGCATGTGCCATGTATGTTGTACATGGTACAATCCACAAGAATTTGCAACATAGTGGTTTAACTCATCAGAAAGAGATATGTGGATTTAACCAGCAAAAGTCATGGCGATCTCAAGCGGATGGCTCACCATGAATTAATGTAACGATTTTAAGCAACTTCTTTTGTCGACTTTGCTGGGATTTAAGCAGCCAAGTCATGTAACATGAACCAACTGACTACCCTCTGGTAAACGTTAACAAAAAACTATGGAAAATCACCATGTTTAATGGGAAAATCCACTATTTCAATGGCCATTTTCAATAGCTATTTTGACATAACCAGAGGGTAATGGGAATATTAGGGGTTGGCTGAATGGAATATGTCATGAATATGTCATGAATTGCCAGGCTCTGAGATCTGAATCCTGAGATGTGGGGATAAATTTCACCAACTTCCTGAGAAACCAATAGAAAATGATGGGCAAATAGTCTATGATTTTCACATATTAGTGTATATTTGAAATGGGGCCATCCATAAATTTCCAGTGAATATTTTGTGTTTTTTATCTTAAGCATTAGGACATACTTGTATGATTCAACGCATGTTTGCTGTGTATTCCGCAAGATTACCGTCAAAGATTCGAGTTGCACGGATTTTTTTGCATCCAAACCGTTGTCTTACTGGTGCTTAGCAGGGAAGTAGGGAATGATCCATAATCACTAGTAATAATCATCCCATTCCAATCCATTCCCATCCATTCCCTACTAAGCACCAGTAAGTTGTTTTTGTACCGCCCAATCGATAGTGCTTTTCATTTATTATTTGCAGGTGAAAACCAGCTGGATTTGGGACGACTCTTGGATGTACCCCCCAAACAAAAGCAGGATCCAGTATTGGACTCCTCAAACCATTTCCTGAACCCTGATCATATGTGTTTTTGAATGATATTAATCAATTAAGCAATATTTGTTATCATTTTTCTAGTTGATCTTATTTGATTTTAGTTATTAGGATGGTTGGTTCATGTTATGATTGGCTATACTTATTTGCCCTCCAAGACTCCAAGTGTTTCGTTATAGATTTGGAGGTTTCCTAAGTCATGGGGGCACCCCCCAAATCATCCATTTTTATTTTCGGATTTTCCATGAAGTAAACCATCCATTTTGGGGTATCCCCATTCTACAATGTGGGGCCATCAAACGTTATAAGTTGGTTTTGTATTCGCCCATGAATACTATAGTCATAAGATGTTATAAGAATCATAAACCCAGACGTTATTGAAGTTACCCTCTGGCAAATCACCATTTTCAATGGGTAAATCCACTATAAATGGCCATTTTCAATAGCTATGTTAAATTACCAGAGGGTATAAGCAATTCATAACTTGGGGATCCCATGAAAAAAGAACCCCCCTGCGATGCCGTGCATGGCACAGGGCAGTTTGCTGATGCGCGTGGCCTCAATCCAGCCAGAGATGGCGAATGACCTTGCCAGGCCGCACATGCACTGCTTGGGGGTGACATATTATACTATATCACATTTTTTGTGATCAAGAAGCAAAAGACTGTAAAAATACATATGATATGTATAACATATATATATATATGCTTGTGTTATATCCCGTACTTGGATTACCATATTATTGCCCCACAACAGCAACTGGGATGGTGCATCCAAGTGGTGTTTGCGCAGAAAGTCTGGGGAAAAAGCATTGCCAATCTGATTTGGATATGCCACGGTGGGTACCCAATCTTCTCGGATCTTCTCGGATACAATAGATTGCTGGTTTTGTATCCAAGAAAAATCTCCACCCACAGATTCTTGCCACATCCGGACTCTTCTTGAATATAAACTATATGCCAATCAATAACCACTATATCCATGAAGTGTGTGGTGGATATCCCAAGTCTAAGTTGATGTAAACTCCCTTCAGTAGACAATGGGGGACACCCAAACAAGACGGATGACTTGCGTGACCAGCGGGCTGGATTCTCTGGATTTTGACCAATTCCCAGCAGTGATCTCCCCATGCTTAATCGATGTTTGCTCCACGGAGTGGCAAAACTCCCTTGTCATTCCTTGTCACATGCAGTCGGTTATGGCTCCACATTGTGTGTTTCCAAGCACCAGCCACTTGTGGGCCTATTTTTCACATACCATCTTTGAGTTACACCCAGCTACATTTCCAGGTCAAATATCACGTTGTTTAGTTGAAATATATCGACCCCTGAGCCCCACCATGTATAGCATGTGCAGGTAGGTCTAGTAGAGGTATGCCTTAGCTATGAGTCCATCATGCCCAAAGTAGATATCCCCGATATGTACAGTCATAGCACTACCTATGTAGAAGCGTTACATAGGTAGGGTAGCCACTAATTAGAGTAGAGTGTAATTCCATCCTAACAATAACCTGGGTGGGTCATTTACACGTCTACGACGTTTGTGGCTCAAGCGCCTTCGGGAAAAGGCGTTTGGTTGTTTTGTTTGATGCAGGTGTTGCCGGATTGGTTTCCCCTTTTCGTTTGAGTTTCCGGTTCGACCCCCTGTTTCACTGGTTATCAGCCGTAAGGCTTTTGTTGGGGAACCTAATCCGGTAAAACTTGCCATAGGCCCTAACTTTGTTCTCGCACTTCACTGTTCCTTGTTGCATGCCCTCAGAAGGATCCGGAGAGGTCGCTGACGATTCCGTCGCGACTGAGACGCCAGCGGGTGGAGCCGAGGCGGTCGCATCTGCCGCAGAAGACGTTGAGCAACCAGCTCCGTTGCCTGCCGGATCGATAGCTGAGGCCTCTACCTCCTGGGCGGATCTGTCTGAGGTACAAGCGCCCGCGCCATCTGGTTTCGACTCCATTGCGACAGACTCTGCAGGTCCACAAGGACCACTGGTAGAGGTTAAGGAGGAGATCCACGAGGCCGAGAGCATCAGTGCAGTAATTTCAGCGATTGGCTTGCCAGAGGAGGTCGCTGACGATCCCGTCGCGACAGAAGAGACTGGGGTTGACGCTTCACTTCAAGATCAGTCATTTTTGGAACCACCTTCTGATTTGGGTAACCCAGCGGAAGCTGCTTTCACGGACATTGATCGAGCAAAAGAAGAAGGAGCAGATCTTCAGCAAGAATCTTCAACTCTTCTGGAACAGGCCGAGTGCGAAGTTGATACATCAGGTTTTGCAGATCCAGTTGATTCTGCCGACATTGATTTTACAGGTGACGACACAACCGTAGTTGCTGAGGTTCCTGAGGCAGAGACCGAAGGTCTAACTGCCGACGCCGTTGCATCCGAAGCAGCCGTTGCATCCGATCCTGTGGTCGCTGACACATCCGGTGTCGCGACAGAAGCCAACACTAGTTGCCCCGATCAAATAGTCCCACCACCAACTAGCCCTAATCTTGTTGACCCAGGTGCCGATCCTATCCAAGTAGGACATTCCCCCGCTAGTTCATCAACAGCCCATCGACCAAGGGTTCGATCCAGCAGGGGCGGTGCTCAAACTAGGTGGCAGGAAGCAAAGCGAGCTTGGTGGAACAACTTCGAGGCATACCAAAATTGGCTTTACCATAATTCCGGAGGGGATATCGTAGGTGGCTTTTGGTTAAGAAAGATTTCTTACGAGCACGCCGACGAAAGCACTCGCTGGTTGATAGCTCTTCATTCAAGACTTGTTGAGGAGTTCCCAACATCACAGTGTTTAGCTTTGGCCTACCAGATCCTCATCCCTTACAAAGAGTGGGCTCACATCCACGGGTTGGACAGGCGTAGAGGTACTGCCCACGCACAGCAAGTGATTGATTCCGGTGAATTACCTCCAAAAAGGGTCATTAACCAACGAATCTTAGGGGCAGAGCACCCACGCGCAGAAGAGTGGGATAGGTATTATAGATACATAGGCCCACAGCAGCAACCCCGTCCAAAGGTGGTTAGGCCTGCTGCCGCAACACCCGTTGCTGGCGCGGCAAGTGGAGGCACAGATCCGACTCCGGTCCAGCAAGGACCCAAAGAGCCTGGGCATCCACCGCCAAATTGGCAACCCTCTTTGAGGGCACCAAATCATCCGGTCCAACCGCCGCGTCCAAGGGTTACTGTCTCTGTCCATCCAGTCCCAAAAGCCCCAAAGTCAGATTCTCAAGGGGTCGCTGCCTTTGGGCGCGACGTAGCACCAGTCCCAGTAGCCAGCCCTGCTAAGCCACCAGCTAAAGCTAGGCCCAAAGCTCCTGATTCTAGTGCCACAACCCTTGCAGATAGAGTTCGAAGTTTGCCACCTCCACCTAATAACATCGCCCCTAGTCCGCCTCCTCATAAGCAACCGCCTTTACCACCATTACCACCTCCTAGTACACCACCACCTGGTGATAATTTTCCACCACCACCATCTCGCAGTTCCCGACCAGCAGAGGCGCGAGAAGAGACTGCTCCGGAGGATCCCAACGATCCACCGCCTGAAGAGGAGCAGTGGGTGGAGGAAGAGGAGGAAGAGGAAGTTTTTGAGGAGGACGAAGTAGTCGAAGTTGAGGTTGAGGCTGAAGCAGAACCCGAATTCCCTGACTTTACAACAACTGAACACGGCCGTGAGGTTTCCACGCGCCGTCGTAGGCCTAAAAGAACTAGGTCCAATCCGCCATTGCCTGTCAATCTAGTCCCAAGGGAAACCCGTGAACGAATTGAACTTAATCAAGAACTTTATAGAGCCCGAGCCATAACCGGTGTTTCTAGAAGACCTCTTGCTTTAAGACCCCAAGTGCACGGTTACCCCGAAATTAGAATTGACTCCGCTGGCACCTGGGCTAGGGTCGCTGATCCTCCGATCGCGTATGCGCCACAGACTTTGCCTTTTATCGTTCCTCACGCCGAGGCACCAGAGCTTGGGGTCAACCCACACGAGCTTCCCGACTCGTTGTGGCGTGATCCTGCACTTAGATCCCATCGGACTGTTCTTGGCTCAAGTAATTTAGACCCCAATAGTGTCTATAATATTTCCACCAACAACCCCGAGACCGAATCTGAAGGCTCTGAAACCGCTGAGACTCGAACCGCCAGGTTTGTTTCATCAGGTCAGGCATTTGTCGGCCAGCAAGAACCGTTCGACGCTGGCTTCGCTGAGCGCACCCCTGCCCGTCCAATTGAGTCTCCACCAAAGAGACAGCGTCCTAATATAAGAACCTCTCAAATCCAACGTGATAAGCCGGCACAGCCTAGAAAAGATCCAGTTTCTGCTGCACCAACACCACCTGCAGCCCCTACAGTACCATCTTTGACTGTTCCCCCATTAAGCAGTTCTAGTAGTTCAGCTTATCCTCCCTGGAGGCAGTCCTTGCAAAGTGCTGGAAGTGGGGTCGCTGACACCGCCCGTGTCGCGACAGAGACTGCAGCAGAGCCAGCCGGCTCTCCCGTTGCGCGATCCAGATCAAGAGCACCCTCAGCCGAGACTGCGCCCGCAGTTGCTGCCAGAACAAGTAGGGGAAGGGAAGTACCAATTTCAAATAAGATTTCATCTAAGTCTCGCAAAAGAGCTAGTTCCGTTCCTGTGCCAATCCGTGCAAAGGGGGCTGCTGTCCCCGACACGCCCCAAAGGCCAGAACCCTTACCACCAGCTCCAGAGCCTAAGAAGAATCTGCCGTGGAAGCATCCGCCTGTGGCATCTGCAGCACCCGCTGCACCTGTGGTAATTCCCCCAAGACCTAATAGGCCAGTTCCCCCTAATCCAGCTAATCTTAAGCCCGTAAAACCTCCTCCGCCAGGAATCGAGAGGGCAAGACCTGCTGGCCAACCGTCCCGAGATCTACCTCCACTTGATCCCGAAGGACAACAGCAACAGCAAGAGGCACCAAGCTCAGGATGCCTGAACCAACACCAGATCGGCCAGAGGGGGTCGCTGGCTCTGTGCCGCGACATTACCAACAGCAACCCAACTTAGTCTCTAAGGTAGTCCACGTTAATACATCCAACATAGTTGTTTGTATCGACTGGCACGATACCATTGACCAAGCTCTCAACCCCATTGGTGAATTGTCTTCCCATTTAGTTGAGAAGCTTCGGACATTGACTAGGATTGCTGGTAATCAAATTGAGTTCCACATTGTCTCATACGCCGGCCAATCTAAGATTGACAGCACCAAGGCCGGTGCTGAGCACGTGATTAGCCAATTGATCGCAGAAGGTTTGCCGTTTAGAGAATTGCACCTGGCTCGCTATCCGTGCGGAAGGCAGGGCAAATCATCTATCATCTCTGCACTTCAGGCACATTGTCTCATCGACGACCGTTCCGACATCCTGAACGAGTGCAGGCAACTCGGCATTAAAACCATCCGATCAGAGGGGCGTCCTGACAAGGAACTCTGCTGGATTGCAGAGGTAGAGGACTGGATCCGGCACGAAGGGGTCAGCCAGATCCTGCACGCCCGCCGTCCAGTTCCTCTTAGGACCGATCAATTTTACCCCAACTTCGGGGGCCAGGACGATAGGTCGCTTTGGTAGACCCTGGCACAAGCCCAGCGGT